GGCGCCTGCCATGGCCTGCCCCCCGCCCTGCGCCTGCCCACTCTGCTGCGTCATGGCCTGGATGAGCGCCACCTGGGTAGGCTGGCTGATGATGTGGTGTTGTCCCCCGGCCGAGACCAGGTGAACTACATTCCCTGCAGGGGGAGAGCATGAACAGCTGGTACCTGCAAGCTTCCCCACCAGCGCGCACACGCCCAGCCCGGTCCCTTGTGCGCCTGCCTGCTGCGACCCAGCCAGGCCGGCACTGGGGCCTTACAGCAGGACAGGCTCAGAGGTTTGCTCTATCCCTCGGGTCAACAGACGCCTCATGGGCGGAGACGGCTGGAGCTAAGAGGGATGCCACCCTGGCCATCTGTGTCTCCCCCGCCCCTCCTTCCTTCCTTCCCATGCCCCTCTGCTCCCTGCTCACCTTGGTTCTCCACTCCCCACCCCATCAGTATCCCTCCGCACATCCTGCACCTCTCTGCTCCCCGCCAATCAGTGCCTCTTGGTTCCCCTTGACCTAATGCTCCTCAGTTCCCTGCATCTTCCCTTGGCTGCGCTGCAGATCTGTTCTTACTCCACCACCAGGGCTCTTCCATCCCCTCCCCCAAGTGCTGTTGTCTCTCACACCTCTCCCTCCACTCTGGCTTGCCTGGTCTAAGGACAGTGTTGAGCAGCCCCCAGCAGAGCTCTGGCTGCGTGGGGAGAAGAGGCGAGAAAGCAGCCAGGGCACGGGGCATGAGTGAGAGGCAGTGAGGACAGCAATGGTGGAAGCAGAGGAAGGAGTGAGTGGGGCAGGGAGAGGGCTCTAAGGCTCTCAATACTCAGGGACTGCTGAGATGCAGCCACCTCTGGGATGGGGCGTGGGGGCCGATTTTACAGATATCCCGGGGAACAGGGCAGAGGTACCTGGGCCACAAGGGAGGGGAGGGGTTTACCTACTTTGCAGCTGTCGGGGCTGGGCCATGGTGACCTGCCGCACCTGGGTGCCCGTCAGGGTCAGCTTGTTGCCTTGGATCTGGAAGGTGAGGGGCTTGCTGCCTGGGGCGCTCTGCAGCGGCCGGTTGGCCAGAGAGGCCAGCTGTGCGATACTCACTACCTCGCCCGCTGCAGAGAGGAGACGGGGTCAGTTCCCAGGGAGGGGCCAGGCACCCACCACCCTCCCCCCCACTCCCTGCAGCGCCCCTTGTACTCACAGGGCAGCCGGGCCTGCATGTCTGGGGAGAGCAGCAGTCTCTGCTGCACAGCACTGGTGGCTGGGAAGCTGTAGCCAGGCAGGGTGTTGGTGGTGGAATGGACTGTCACTGGCTTCATCATGCCCCCCATGGTGCCAGGGTTCAGGGGGCTGGCGGCTAGCCGTACAGCGGGGGCTGGCACTGGCCCAGGCTTGAGGGCGGAGGCAGCAGCAGTGGCAGCAGGGGCCGGCAGCACGGGAGGCTGGGGGGCATTTGGGACCAGCTGGGCCGCAGGCATCAGTGTAGGCAGGACTGCGGGAGGAAAGAGGGGCTGGTTAGAGAGGAGTCTGCCAGCCTAGCCACGCAGCCCACGGAAGGGCAAGGAGGTTACCAGCCCAGCTCCGCCAGCCTGGGAAAGAGGCCAAGGCGCTTTTACTTGGCCAGGCCCTGCATCCCAAAAAGGAGAGGGGAGGGGAAATCCTGGCCACACCCTCCCAAGTATGGTATCTCAGGCCTCAAGCAGAGGCAAGGGCCTCATCCTAGAGGATCCCAGTGGGAACTCAGCCCCACCCCACCCCTCCCACAGGAGCAAGGCCCTTACCCTGCGGTGCAGACACCGGGGCCTGGAGCACGGCAGCAGCAGCGTTGTTCTGGCTCAGCGTAGGCACTAGTGTTGGGCCCTGTGGCCTGGCAGCGGGAGGCACCGGCACTGGGGACGGCGGGAGGGGCAAGGGCAGCGAGACGGGTACGGCCATAGGGTGAGGGAGTAAGGGCGGCTGAATGGGCCCTGGGAGAACGGGGCCCATTGGGTGCATGGGGGCCAGAGCCTCTGGCAGCACAGGAGTCATAGGTCTCTGCAAGGGGGTTATGGGGCGAGGGCTGTTCACCAGCACCACGGTCCGGTTCTCTGGCTTTGGCACCGGCTGCAGCATCCTGCAGGGAGGGGGACACAGACAGTGTGAGGGGGAAGGGAATTCACCACTCCCTGCTGACCCTCCTGCAAATCCAGGCCTCCCCCTCTAGAGAAAACCAGGTCTCCTCCCAACCTCCTACTCTGTGCTATGGAACCATCCCCCATCCCCCACTGAGATCCCCAGCCAAAGACAGCCTCCTCCCCTCCCGTAGCGATCCACAGTGGGGGGCTGCAGTACCTGTTTACTTTCATCTTGACAGGCTTGGGCCTGGGCGGAGGGTCTGGGGACTCTGCGATTTCCTCAATTAGCTTCCTTGTCACCTTCCACTTCGGCAGGAAGGTGTCGGCCTCATAGCGGGACACACGCCCCTCCAGGTTGATGAGGTCGAAAATTCCCATGTCCACATGCTGCAAGGGGCCAAGCCCAGTTAGGAGAGGACCAGCCCTCCCCATGGCTCCTCATGCTTCCCTCTGGAGCAACACCAGGGCTGGCAGGAAGGGGAAAGGACCCATGTGCCATTCCCCCCGCTCCCTCTGCCATGGCCACAAAAGCAAACCAATACTCTTTGCTCCCCCTGGACCCCCCCCCACCTTGTCTTCTCTTAGCCAGCTAAGCCCCTGCCCTGTGGCTGCATTGGAGCTGATGTTCCCTAGAGGAGAAAGCCCGTCCCATCTCCCTTGGAAGGTTGGGGGCACCTGCCTTAAAGGGGTCCCTTTCGAGGGCGCCCAGAACGAGGGAGGCGGTGCTGAAACAGATGCCCTCGGTGATGAAAGGCGAGTGGATGGGACGGGGGTCGAAGAGGTTGGGGTGGTTGCACACCTTCCGCAGCTGCATCAGGATGTTAATGACACTCATGAAATGCCCCGTGGCCAGAGTCTCCTTGGTGCTGAAGGGAAACCAAGAGCAGAGTCAGCTAGAGCTCCTGGCTGCTACCACACGTTGCGTTTCTGGGCTGACAGGCATGTAAGAACCACACAGCAACCCCACCCTGGGTTCAGCCACCCAGTGCTGACCGCATGGGAACACTGTACAGGGATCTGAGTCAGGGCTAGGGAGCAGTGCCTGATTAACACAGCAACTCACCACAGCCGTTTGGGACAGGAAGCTGTGTCCAACTGAAACTATGGACAGGATTCAGAGCAGCAGAATGCAATCCCTGGAATTGAGATCTGGCCCCACTCCCTGACAGAGCTGGGGACAGAACCCAGGAGTGCTGACTCCCAGCCCCCCCTTCTCTAAACCATTAGTTACCCCACACCCCAAAAACCAGAACAGACCCAAGTGTCCTGTCCCCTCTGCACTCACGTGGCCTGGGCCATGAAGTCATCGTAGAGATAACGCTGGCGCTTGGACAGCCGGCACTTGATAACGTGCTCGTATTTCTTTGGCATTTGCTTCTCCACGTCCACCTTCACCCTCCGCAGGAGGAAAGGCCGCAGCACCTGCCGGGGTGGGGCAGAGGCATCACACTGAAAGCCAGCCCTGATCCCAGGTGTCCTGATCACTAGCTTGAAATGCCCACGCACAGCCCAACAGGGAAAGTCTGCCCTCACACCCTGGTCCCCACTGGACAGCATCCCCCACCCTACGGGAAGTGAGGCTAGCAGAACTCTGACCCTTCACAGAGGCATGACGTATGAGAATCCTGCTTGTGGACAATGCCCAGCCCCCACCGATTGGCCCAACTGTACTATTCAAAGCAGCAAGCAGCACAGAAAGTTGTGTGAGCAACTGACTGACTTCCTGACTTGTTTCCAATTCTGACCACTAGGCCTGTCACCCCTGCTCTGAGCATTGGATCAAACCACCCACATCCTGATCCTGACTCATTTCCTCTTCCAACCCCAGTCCCTTGCAGACCCCATCCCAGGCCTGATTCCTAATAGCCCCTGCTTCCCACCCCTCAAAACCAGCCCCAATCCCCAGCAGCTCCACAGTTCCGACTCTCACCTTGTGCAGCCGCTTGACCAGGCTCTCATTGTACTCCTGGCTGCCCTCTATCATGCCTGTCAGTGGGTTGGAGAACCACTCCTTGAACTCGCGATGTGACTGGAAGACGTGGGGCATCAGGAAGTGCATGAGGGACCAGAGCTCCATCAGGCTGTTCTGCAGGGGGGTGCCCGTCAGCAGCAGCCGCCTCTGACTGGAAGAGACATGGGGAAAGGCAGGGCAGAGCAGTGAGTGTACTGGGACATGCTGGGCCAGGGCCTCCCGCCCTCAGCTAGAGGTACCCACCTGTTGAAGTTGAGCAGCGACTGCCAGCGCTGGGATTTGAAGTTCTTGATGTTCTGGGCCTCATCCAGAATCAGGTACTTCCAGTTCTTGCGCCGGAAAGCCTGGTGGTCCTGCAGCACTAGCTTGTACGAGGTGATGCAGATGTGGAAGGCGTTGGGCTTGGTCCAGCCCTGCAGGAGGGGAGCTGGGTTACACTGGGAGGGGCTGTGAGCCCCTAAAGGATGGACCATCCAGATCCCCTTCCCATCTCCAAACCAGCAGGTCCACTGTCCAGGAACAGACTGGAGCAGGCACCTCAAAGGGTAAAGGCTTCATGTCTGTCTCCCTGCTCCCTCCAAGCCAGCCAGTATCCTGTGTGACCCTGCAGAAGCCTGTCTCCTCATAAAGAAGGAGTGTTCTAACGATACAGAACCGGGAGGCACTTCAATAGAGAAAACTGGAATATTACACTAGAAGTGCTGGATGACCCTGACACCGACAGAGACAGAGATGGGATTAAATCTAGTAGAACAAAGTATAGAGTCCTGCACCTCAGCTCTAATAAGAAGTTCTGCTACAAGCTCATCAGTTGGAAGCAAGAGAGGAGAGCTGTGGGTGTGTGGGTTGATCACAGAATAACTGAGCCACCAATGTATTGCAGCAGTGAGAAAGGCAAATGTGATTCTAAGAAGTCTCAGGAGAGGCATTTCTAGTAGAGAGAGGGAGAAGTATTAATGCCTGTCCAGTGCACGGGTAAGACCTTCACAGAAACCGTGCACAGCTCTGGTTCCAGAAAGATAAATGCAAACCGGAACTGGTGCACAGAAAAGCTATGAAGATGACCAGGCAAATGGAGGGCTGATCCCACCAGAGAAAGCTGGAAGAGCTTGGCTTATTTAGCTTAGCCAAATGAAGACTGAGGGGGATCTAACTAAGCAGTATAAATATGCTGGGGGACGAGTAAATATCAAGGAGGGTGAAGAGCTATAAAGGGCAAGGTGGGCTTAAGAACAAATGGTTATAAACTGGCCATGAACAAATTCTATCTGGAAATTAGGTTTCCAACGGGTTCTGGAGCAGCCCCCAGCGGTTCTGGGAGCAAAAATCTTCATTAGTTCTAAGGGAGATGATGGGGTTGCTTGTGTTGACAGGAGGGAGATTTCTTATGCTCCTAAAGCTCATGCTTCAGCTATCCACTGGCAGGGGTCAGGAAACGATCTCACCATGCATTCCATTTCTGTGATGCTTTAATCACTGCCTTCCTCTGAAGTATCAGGGATGGGCAGGGCTCACTGAACCGCGGCAAACCCTGCTCGCCAGCTGCGCTGTCCGGCGATGTGCGCATGCGCAGAGCGCCAGAACCCGGCTCGTCCGGGTTGCAATCTACTCGCCATGGGCAAGTACACTGCATTATTTGTAGAGCCCTGGGGATGGCAATGCTGGAAATGGGACATGGGAGGGCAGCCAGGGCGCACACATACACAGTCTCTCTAAATTACTTGACTGGCTGGTCCAACTGATCACCATATGTGGGGCTAGGAAGGAATTTTTCCCCAGGTCAGACTGGCAGGAATCCTAGGTTGGGAGAGATGATTTCCCTTTCCTCTACAGCATGTGGGTGCAGGTTTTTGGCTGGGTTCATCTGGGGCTCTCACACTCAGTCTGTATGACTATTACACTCACCCCCCTCTGCCAGGGAGAGCAGACAACCCTCAGCCATTGTGGAGAGTCAGTCCTGTATCCCATTTGCTGGGTGCACTGGGGGTGAGGAAGGGGCTCCTCACCTGCCGCTTGAGCTTGCGCTCCTTCTGCGCCCCATAGTAGGTGAGGATCTTGAAACTGGGGCACCAGCGCTTGATCTCCATCTCCCAGTTCAGCATCACGCTGGTATCAGGTGGGGCCCCCAGCTACCTGTGGGACCAACACAGAGCAGAGCTGCTCTCAAGCTGCAGGCTCAGGGACCTTGGCGCGGCAGTCACTGCCACACGCACGCCCCTGCCAATGAGCCTCCGCCAGCCCTGGGGAAGGGAGCTCCATTTCCACAGCCTTTCAGCTCTGAGGTTCTCTGTGGGGAAGGTGGCTACTGCGATCCAGGCATCTGGGCCCACCCATGCAGGATTCCCCCTTCCTCTCTTGTTCCCAGCAGAGATGGAGCTGCCCAGGAAGGACTGTCCCACCCCCTCACCCTTCTCGCAGGCCAGATGAGCCAGCAGGGAGATGGTCTGGATGGTCTTGCCCAGCCCCATCTCGTCCGCCAGGATCCCGTTGAGCTTCTTTTCGTACATGGTGACCAGCCAGTCCAGGCCGATGTGTTGATACTCCCGTAGGGTCCCCCGCAGCAGGTAAGGGATAGGCGTCTTCACCTGCACAATGGGGGAGGGGCTTAGTCTGCTGCCTTCTCCCCTTCTCTAGCCCCCTCCCCACTGCAGTCCTGCTTACCTGGGTGGTGGCCAGGGTGTAGCCCTTGGGCTGAAGGCTCTCGGCAGTGGCTGCAATGTCCGTGATCTCCTTCTTGGGTCCCAGGGCAGGGGCTGCGTCGTTGCCCCCCTCTCCCCGATCCTCGTCCCTTTTCAGCAGATACTCCACACCAAAGTCTTCCTCCCGGCTTGCTGTCGTCACTTCCTCAGTGGTGGCATCCTCCTCCTCCTCTTCCTGGCTCTCCTCCTCTACCTCCTCGCTCTCCTCCTCTGTGGTGGAGTCTGGGAGAAGATCCAGCCAGCATAAGCACTGCCTTAAGACACCCACTCTCGCCTCAGACCGCACCACCTCCTCCTTCCATACCTGACTGGCTGCTGTGGTCCTCATCCTCAGACTCTTCCTCATATTCCGAGGTGCTGGGCTCCGAGGCACCCGAGGAGCTGTCCGACTCATCCATCTCAAAGTCCGAGGCGTAGGCGCCAGCATATTTCTGCAGCAGCTCCTCCATGGGTAGTTCCCCTGCCAGACAGCGACTGGGTCAGAGGGCACTTGGGGATGTGTAGAGGCTGGGATGGGGCAGGGTGATGTCATGTCCCACTGCGCCCTGGGACTAAATGTCTCTCCAGATCTGTAACGCAGCCAGCACAGGACAGACCTGGCTGCGGGTTGCAATGGAGAGGTTCCTTTGAGCACCAGCTACCAAATCCCAGCCTATGGGGCCAGGCAGGGACCTGTTTAAGTGCTCTCTGAACGCAGATGACGTAATGCAGGGGATGGTGGAACAGTGAACCTGCGTCCCTCAGAGACCCAAGCCACATTGAATGTTGGGGCTGGAGTCAGTCCAGTTCCACGATGCCTGGTCCTTCAGGGCTCAGGAATGAGGCAGCACTGAGGGGAAGGTGCAAGGACTGATTTCAACATGAGATTCCAAGAATAAATCTGCCAGATAAAGATTTGGGGCATCCCAAGGTGTTGGATTTGGCTCCACTGCTGGGGTTATTACCCTGTCCTGAGATCTTCACACTCCGGAGGACTCCATCCCCTAGCAAGCTTGGGTGGGTAAAACCTCTATCACCCATTCAGTTAAATGACAGGGAAGGATCCTAGAGGTAGGAGGACAATTAGGCCTGTCCCAGCCCATTCCTAGACATGCTCTCCACAGACCCCCTCCATACCTTCCCGGGCCAACTCATCCAGTTCGTTCCTGTGATCCATGTCCCCTTCCAGCTTCTCTTCAGCATCAATTGTCTCCTCTTCATCCTCAGCTGAGAGAAAGGGGGCTGTATTACCATGCAGATTGGGGAGAGTCCTGTCAATTCATCAGCCCCACCAGCGGCAGCCAGGTCACCTCCCATCCATCCAGAACCTAGCCACACCAGCAAATCCCTTGCTATGCTCACCTTCCTCCTCATTGGCTGTGAACTCCTCGTCCTCCTTGTCAGGCTTCCACGGCCTTTTGTTCCTCTGTATGACAGACTTTTCTTTCTCCTGCTGGAGGCATGAAGAACAGGGCTTGGAGAGGAGGATGGGCCAGGCCCTTCCGCACCAGGAGAGCTTTGGCCCTTCCAAGCCCTCCTACCCTTCTCCAGGACAGTGGACTGGAAGGGAGGTGCTTGCTCTGAGCAAAATGCTGCCTCCGTCGGAGTGTCCCAGCTCCTACCTCCCAGACTGTCGCTGATCACCAAACCCCTTAGCCTCCCTGGCAGGTCTGACCCACCCATCAGCCAGCTTTACCATCTTCGATTGTTGCTCTACCTCCTCCTCACTCTCCCCCGCTGCCTCCTCTTCCTCCTCCTCATTTTCGGAGCTGGAGGTAGAGGGGGCAGTGATGCAGGAATTCTCCAGGATCTGGGCAGGCAGGGACTGCAGCAGCTCCTCTAGGGGCAGCTCACTCTCCTGCTTCAGCAGCTCTATCTCACGCCGATGTGTCTCCGAGTCGTTCCCTTCCTGCTGTTCCTCCACCTCAATCGTCTCCTCATCGTCTGACTCCTCATGGGGCTGGAAGTCCCCATCTGCAGAAGGTTGAAGCGAGGGTGAATCTGGGGCAGTGACAGCAAGTGGGAAACCCTGGGAGATCTGGAGCCTTTTCCCCTTAGGAGTCAGCAGCTGATTGGGCCCTAGGCGGACAGGATTGGAAGACTCAGAGGATGGGACATGGAATCTTTTCTCTTTAGAGCGTGCCAGCTCCAATCCAACCCCAGGCCAGGAGAGACTAGCTAGCTCAGGGGAAAAAGATTCAAGACCTTTAAGTCTAGGGAGGACTGGCTGGCTCAAGGTGAGCAGGAAATGGGATGCTGGGTGCTTTGATTCCCTACCTTCATCATCGGTGAGGTGTGTGGGTGGCGGGGGGCTGGACGCGGTGGAGCCAGCGTGGGAGGAACTGATGTGGGAGGAGGAGCCAGTCTTGCTGGCAATGGGAAAAGTCTCGTTGAGGCTCTGAGTCAGCAAATCTGAGTACTTCTCTGTTTGGCCCACAATGAAGTCTAGCTGCAGGTCCAAGGCCTTCTTTCTCTTTTCCTCCAGGCGAGACTGCTGCTTGAACTGCACCACCTGCCAATGGAGGGCCAGGGCAGGGAGGGACATCAAAGTGAAAGAAAAGAGTTAGAGGGAGGTCTCAATAGGTAGCATATTGTTAAGACTGTCGTACTCGCTTCTGCAGACCCTTCCTGCTATGGCCCACCTGAGAGGCAAAAGGAAATCTCCTCTCCGATGACTATTCTACTGATTGATACCAGATGCCGTGTTAGCAAAACCCACCCTGAAGCAGTGAAGAGGCAGAGACCTAGGGCTAGAGAGTCCTGATGCTCAAGCTGAAGCAACAGAGAGCAGGAGATGCTGGTACAGAGAAACCCGACAGCCTAAGCGAGAGTAGCAAATAGGCACAGATACCAGGCTAAAGAGGTCTGTATGTGACAATTCTTATTTGAAGAAGCCCAGGCCCAAAGCCAGCCTGGGTGCTCCCTCCAGTGCTGGGTACCCTACCCACCTTCTCCACATTGCTCCAGAACTGCTTGACCTCTTTGGCGATGGAGGAGGCGATGCGCCTCAGCTTGGCCTGCTCTTCCCGCTTAGCTCGCTCCTCCTTCTGCTTCTGCTCTTCATGGTGCCGGATCACCATCCGCACAACCTGGAGGAGGTGAGGGAAGAGGGTGAGATGCATGCATGGAGGGAATGGGTCAGCTCCAACCCAGGGCTGACTGTATTGGGGACGGGGAGATCTCTCTAACTGGAGCTATAGCCCAGGAACATGCTGCCAACCAACAGCTGGGACACTAGCCACAATTTGAGGAGGAGGATCAGGAAGGTTTTCGTTTAGTGCATAGGACAGACAGGTCAAGCCTAGATGGAGCAAAGGAACATGGACAGACAGAAGGGTGCTTGGATGGATGGCAGACAGATGGCACCTGGATGGATTTCAGAGCCTTTGGAAATACTCTCTCTTAGACCAGAAGGTCTGTTCTCAGGGCAGAACTCCCAGAAAAGCCCCTGAAGAATGTGCCAGCAGTCTCACAAAGCTGCTGAGGACAGGTTTTGAACTCACAGAACATGGGAGCTATCCAGCTATCTTGACACCAGGCGACCTGCAAACACTCTATCTTGCAACAGACACCCTGTCCTTCTGCATATCTACCCTCTTTGGCATGGCTGGATGGACAAAACACTATTCTTTTTTAAACAGATTTTCAACATTTAAATTAGCTAGAGGTTTTATATTAAAACAAACCTATTTAATACTAAATTTGAGTCACAGGCAAAGCACCTGGAACCAGAGTTTGCTGTAGTGGTAAACCAACTTTTGACAGAAGTAACCTATTCTGCACCTGAAGACTAATTTTCTTCAGTTCTGTTTTATCCAACTAATTCAGTTGAATGACTAGTTATTTCATAGTAATAAACCAGTTGGGTGTGGAAAATGCAGAAAAGTTATGTTTTTTTCTTCCTTTCCTAAGAATAAAAATTAGGTGTGAGAGGGAGAGATCTACTAGTTCTAAAATTTTGAAGGAGATGGTGACCAAAAACATAATTCAGTGAACTAAATGCTTCCTTTGTTTAATAAATCAGTTAGTTTTCCATATAAAACATATTTTGATTCTTCTCTTATTTGTCTGACATGAAAATGCTGTTTTTGTGCAATTTCCAAATAGAACTTAACATGAATAATAAAAATAAATCTACTAAACAACAAAATATATCATTCGCTGTTTTTAACCAATAATAAATGTTAAAATTAAGAATCTGAATAAATGTAAGTTAAACTATACACTTGGTTAAATAACTCCTGGGGAATTCTACACCAAAAATTTAAATTTCTGAGCACGGTAATTTATAATTCTGCATATTTGTCAAAATAACACTATATAATCATACCAGTTTCAATTATTTTGCTTATTTATTTCAAAATACCTGTCACCAACTCTGTAATAATGCAGACAACAAAAAAGATTCAGAATATGTTTCTGACCGATTCCTTGCCATGTATATTAATACAGAACTCTGAGTAATAATTAATTTAAGCTACAATAAAGAATCACATTTCCTGCCCCCCTCAGAAGCAGTGCAAAGGCTTGAAGGAGTCAAAGGTAACAGAGGAGCTGAGAGAGGGGGAAGTAACTGCTGGAAAGGAGTGTGGGTGTGCACTTGGAGGGCTGTTGGATATGGGTGTGAAATTAATGGATTTTTTTTGAAAGGGGGGGAGGGGAGTAATTGTTAGGGAGCTACTCCCATGCAGAGCCTGGATGACCTTAGCCCAGTGGTGCGCAACCTGCTGCCCAAGGGCCACATGCAGCCTATCAGGATTCTGTATGTGGCCCGTGAGACGTTTTGTTTATCGTTGCCCACATGCAGGGTTGCCAGATTCTGCTGATTTCTGTCTGTATAGTGGGTTTTTTCCCACAACTGGTATTGCTAAAGAGACACCACATAAACCAAAGGCACATGAAGTGAGTTGTGAGCTGATGCACACTACATTGACTAAGAGGGCCACATGCTCCCTCTGCATCCAATCAAGCACTGCTAGGGTTAGAGTTAGTGTATATTTAGTTGTAACGCAATTGTTATACTGGTTACCAACCAATGAGAATAAATGTTTCTTTAAGAAAACAACTAAAAATGCAAAACAAGAGTTAAATAAACAATTTAAATCAAGATTACCTGCTTGCAGATTTAAATCTTGATTAAAATCACTTATACACCTTCAATTTAAATCAATCAGCCCTGCAGTGTGGTTTGACCTACACTGGAATTCCGAAATTTGACACTCAATGACTCTCATATTGTAGATATCCCAGGGGGCCTGGTGGGTGCATAATGCTGGCTGAAATGAATCCTGCTTGGGAGCCATAGTTTTGAGCCCAAGGTGTATGTAAAAGTGAGTTAGAAGGTCTAGAACATTTTGATGTTATATTTTCACAGGTTCATCTCAAATGTCCACAGTTTGCACCATTTACTCTGCCCTGCGGCTCCTAATGGTACAGCTATTTCCAAGATAATCCATGCCCACCTTTGTGTTTTTAGGGGACTTAATAAACCAGCCAGAGCTGTTTGAGGGAGAGGTAGAGCTCACCTTCCTGGCCACACCCCTCTTCCAACGGCGCTCCTGGGCGAAGTCTGCTGAAAGCCACTGCATCTCCTCACAGAGGTAATCCCAGTGCACCTTGGGGCGAACTGGCTCTGGCACCTTGGAGAGCCTCTTTAAGGACCAGAAACCCTCCTTTTTCATCTCTGAGATGCGGTTCTCAATCTCTGCCTCCTAGAACACAGCACCAAGTCAGCGGGGATCCCAGGGAGACCCACAGAACAATTGATGGCTGAGATCTATCTGACCCTAAATTGTGATGTCCCACAGTGACACAGGAATAAGGGATCTAGAAGGGATATGAGTCACATTACCTCTCCTCCCTAGCCAGGGCACCCCGATGGGGTCTGGATCATTACACCTCCCCTCCCCCACCAGATTTCCTTAAGGGCATCTGGGTCATGCCTCCCACTCCCTTCCACCCCCCACACTCCTTGAGGGAATCTGGGTCATGGCCCTGGGAGCATGGAGTACTCCAGCCGAGGGACCCTTCAGACAGTCAGCTCCTCACATGCTTGGCCTGCTCAGCGATCTCAGCGTGCGTCTTGTCCCACATGCTGGCTGGGTCCGAGGCATAAGCCCCCGGGGACGCCAGAGCTTTGCTCTGCAGCCTGGGCACATCAAAGCCCAGGTGACTGTCCAGGGAGGAATCGTGAGTGAGATGTGGGGGGGAGATGCTGCCGCTGGAGGCAGGTGACCCCGAAGAGGCCGGTGACACAGGATTGCTCCCCGTCATTTTGTCTGGTGCAATCTGGGGGCAAAAGAGGATGATGTGACTGGGACAGTCTCTGCCACAGCTACATATGGAACCAGTGAATTCAGAAGCCCTTTCAGCCTAAAGACCACAAAGTGCTATTCTGCATATATATGCACAAGAAAGGCTTGCCCAGTACTGAGACGCAGCTGTCTCTGTGTGGGGCTGTTTATAGAGGGATCCCTCATGCAGCACTGAAGCACAGCCAGCTCTGGGTTGAGGCATGGCTTCTATTTATCAGCTTCATATAACAATTCTGGACAGGAAGTGACAGAATCTCATATCCACCTGAAATTACAGAAGACATTAAGGAAGCAGAATGGAATTACATTTAAAATTTGAACAAAACAGTAAGATTCACATTCCAAGTCTTGAAAAAAAGGGCCAGGGCAGCTTTAATAGAAAGGGGTTTTGACTCATTTTAAATCTCTTGATGTAGCGATACTCAGATCTCAGTGGTTCCGGAGCCAAATTAGTGATCAACATTACCCAAAAGAGCTGCAGTAGCGTGAATTCCTTGTATTCACTACAGTACTATACATTTTGTTTTGCTGTATGTTCTTACAGCAAAATAAATGACCAAGTATTCTTATTTTATCAACTACAGTTGATTAATAACACAGTACAAACATCTTGATAGGGTAATAATTAAGTTACATGGTGTTTAAATATCATAGGTTGCGAAGAGTCACACATTAAAGAGCCACTTGTGGTTCCGAGCCTCAGCCTGAGTATCACTGTCTTAATGAAAGATTTACAACTTTAAAAGCCTGGTTTACATTACAGAGTTAAGTCCATGCACACTGTCCTCTATCAACCTAGTGGTGGAAGTGGCTTTACTTAAATTTGGCCTCTCTATGCTGATTTAGTAATACCACCTCCTCAAGCAGCATAGTCACCATTGATATAATTAGGTCAATTCAGTGGCGACGTAGACACTGGGTTGCTTTTGCCAACTGTTGCTGGCTTTCAGAAGCCGTCCCACAGTGACAATACAATTGATACAAGTGCTCCTAGTGAGAATATGTACCATGAACACAAGGAGCCAAATATGCACCTGCACAAGTGATTTAACAACAGAAGTGTCTGTATGTTGACATAATTTAGGTCAACCTAATTTTGTAGCACAGACAGTGACTGCCAGCACAGCACTGGGGAAAGCACTGGCTACAAAGGAAAAGTGACATAATTTAGGTCAACCTAATTTTGTAGCACAGTGACTGCCAGCACAGCACTGGGGCAAGCACTGGCTACAAAGGAAAAATGCCCCCTAGCTTCGCATTGGGGTTGGCACTGACTGAAGCGGGAGTGCTCCCTACCATGCAGCACAGCTTTCCCAGTGCTGGCCTTAGGCATTGGGGTCAGCATTTACTGAGGGGAAAGAATGGCCACCGAGTGATCCCAAACCCTGCTTCTTGCAGTACAGCTCCTTCAAGTACCACACTGGGGTCAGCGCTCACTGCAAGAGTACTCCTCCTCCCCCAAACTCCCAGCAGCATTCAAGTCTCTCCAGTTCTCCCACCCAGGCAGCAACTCAGCACATCCCATCTCAGACCCAAGGCTAGGCTGGGAGCCCCTACCTCACTGCGCAGTGCATGGTGCTGTCGGGGAGGGTGGCTCTGCATTTTACTGATCCCTTGCTCTTCGCCTCGCGCCCCGATAGCTTTGCTCGTGGCCGAAGTGCTGTCGTCCTGCTCCAGTGCATGCTGAGAACCGGCCTCATTCTGGTCAAGCAACTGCTGGGACGAGCTGTCCAGCTCCTGGGTCCCCTGGCAGCCCAGCCTGCGCTCGGGGCTGCCTGTCTCTGAATCACCTGCAAGAGATGTGGAAGTAACCTCAAACATGGATTCACACTGCTGGCTGGGTCTTCTGAGGAGACTCCTCTGCTACCAAAGGCTGTCCATATTCAGAAGGCAACACACATCTCCTCTGTGGAGACTCATACAACAGAAATAGAGGAGTACAGGCAGTCCCCGGGTTACGTACAAGATAGGGACTGTAGGTTTGTTCTTAAGTTGAATTTGTATGTAAGTCGGAACTGGTACATATTGTAGGGGAAACTCTAGCCAAACATTTCTCCAGAGCTCAGTTTTATTCTCCCACACCTCACTTCCCTCAGTCCTTTATTCTCAAGCTGAGGTGTCTGCTGAGAAAAGCCGCAGAGGACGCGGGCGGTGGGACCGCGGCGCGTCTCGGCGGTCTGCTGGGGGGAGGGGGGGCGCAGCTAGTGTGGGGTTGCCTCACCCCGTTTGTAAGTAGGGATCCGATGTAAGTCGGATCCATGTAACCCGGGGACTGCCTGTATGTCTGATTAACGGTTAGAGGAGGGGGCTGAGAGTCAGGACTCTAGATTCCAGCCCTGGCTCTAGGAGAAGTGGGGTCTAGTGGGGTAGAGCAAAAGGGAACAGAGTCAGGACTCCTCAGTTGTTCTATGCTCTGGGGTAGATGCTCATCTTTAATGAAAAAAAATTCTTAAGTTTATAACGAGGAAAAACTTTGTCCTTAACTACACTGCCTTTTGCTCCCAATTCTACCTGTCAATCAAACATCAAGAACTAGGAACTAAATTCAAAATAAGGTACACTTTAATTTCAATTTTTGTTCATATTTTAACAGCCACTGAAATTGGGTTAGGCAGAAATGCAAAGTACTCCACTTAGGAAGGAACAATCCGTTTCACACATACTGAATGGAAAGTGACTGTTTAGGAAGGAGTACTACAGAAAGGGATCTAGGGGTCATAGTGGACAAGTTAAACATGAGCCAACAGTGTGACACTGTGGCCAAGAAAGCAAACAGAGTCTGGGATGCATTAATAGTAGTGTTGTGAGCAAGATATGAGGAGTCATTCTTCCACTCTACTCTGTGCTGATTAGGCCTCAATTGGAGTACTGTGTCCAGTTCCGGGCACCACATTTCAAGAAAGATGTGGAGAAATCGGAGACGGTCCAGAGAAGAGCAACAAAAATGATTAAAGGTCTAGAAAACAAAAGCTATGAGGGAAGACTGAAAGAACTGGGCTTGTTTAGTTTAGAAAAGAGAAGACTGAGACGGGACATGATAGCAGCTTTCAAGTACCTAAAAGGGTGTTACAAGAAGGAGGCGGGAAAATTGTACTCTTTGACCTCTGAGGATAGGACAAGGATAAATGGTCTTAAATTGCCACAAGGTAGGTTTAGATTGGACATTAAGAAAAACTTTCTTTCAGGGTGGTTAAACACTGGAATAAATTGCTTAAGGAGGTGTGGAATCTCCATCACTGGAGATATTTAAGAGCAGGTTAGACAGACACCCGTCAGGGATGATCCAGACAGCTCTTGGTCCTGCCGTGAGAGCAGGGGACTGGACTTGATGACCTCTCGAGCTCCCTTCCAGTTCTAGTGTTATACGATTCTATGAAATTTGGCCTCATCTAAGTTTTTTAAAAAAAATCTGCATTGATTTACAATTGGTATGTTAAAATGCATGCAATTGATTAACCGTGTAATAACTTAAAAATTCAGCAGTTATATGCAGAGTGGCAGCCAGTTCCCCAGGAGCTGGTGCGTGCCAGGAGCTGGCTCCCACGTGCCACCCTGCTCCCAAGGAGCTGGCTGCTGCCCCAGATACAGAATAATATGGGCCAGCAGGTGGCTCTCTGGATGCTGAACCAGAAGCTTCATGTAGCCATTTGGGTACTGATAAGCCATTAGTGCACCTAGCTTGTTGGTCCCCTGTTTAAATAGCTACACTCTTACATCACTCTAATCGATATGCACCGTATCAACTCCATAATACAGACACAGTCCACTGGCTAAGTTGGAAGAGTTGATCAGGAAGTTTCCAAGTTCAGCATCACTAGTATAGGCACTATTTTAATGCATCTAGGGCTGAGGTTTGAAACTGAAACTAAAAAATTATCTTATTTATGCTATTATTACAGCAGCATAGATGCATGAGTCACAAATCAGAATCCCACCGCACTAGGTTGCATACAACAACAGAACAAGACAGATGCACTGTGTTCAAAATACTTCTGTTTCCTGCTAGGAGAAAACTTTAGGCTGATTCTCAGTTTGACACAGGGAATCCAAGTGGTTTAATCAACCTCTGCCCATCGAGTCCCTCAGCCCTTTTAACCAGTGATCTGTGTTTTTCCATCACCTTCTAATTTGGGATTCCAAAGAGGGGGAAGGATACACTTGCTGAAATGCTCCTGCCTGTGGAGTGGAACATGACACAGCTCTGGAGAACATCCAAAGCTTCCTTTGCAAAGGGCAATGCTATGCTGCTGGTGTCCTCCAAGAAGGGGACCAACGCCGGAGCCACCCAAACAGCATGTCCCAACCATACCTGTGTGAGCTGAGAACTCCTCGTCAGACTCCACTTCCACGGTTTCTCTTTCCCGGGGAAGACTGCTCCTGCAATAAGATGGGACAGGATGGGGGCATGGGTCCAGACTTCCCCCACATTTCACACCTGAGAGGTAACAAATAATCCATTCCAGCCTTTTCTCTCAGAGTGTATTCCACAAACATAGACTCCGGCCACTTCCTTCCACTTTTCCCTGCACCCTTAGTTCAACATGGTTCACACAAACCAGTCCTTGGGTCTAGCTAAACCTGTCTCTCCGGGACTGAAATGCAGCTGGCAGACTACAAATCCAGCTGCAGGATATAGCGGAGAGTTTTCTCTGAGCACCAGGTACCAAATCCTTGCCTATGGGGAGAGGCAGAGACCTGTTCAGGGTGCTGGGAGAGGCAGGGATGGGGATACCCTGCCTGTCCTAATGCATAGTCTGAGAGAAATCTGCCGTCAATAGCAATGCTTGGATGTTGTCAAGCCAGATATAACACATCTCCACTTAGCTAGCTGGCTTGTCTGCAAAGTCTGGTGTCCCAAAGGGACAGGATGGAGTTGAGAGCCCAGACACCTGCCTTTTCTCCTCCAATCACATCCCACTTCCCCACCCACTGCCTTGCTCCATGTTGTTACTGCATCCTATCCCTTACACACCCATATTAGCCCTTCTTAGCCCTTCACTCCTTTCTAATCTCCCATGCTCTGATCTATTGCCTACCCTGTGACCATTTCTAATCTCCCATGCTCTGATCTATTGATGCTCTGGTAACCCAATCTTTGCCTACCCTGTGACCCCTTCCTAACCCACCCCCCAATACCCAATCCCATTGACATTATCTGCTAACCCCTGCCCCCAATCACAAACTTCATTCTGCTTACCACATTACTATACCCCCACACCATAACCTGTGTATCCCTGTAAACCACAATCCTACTACACCTTCCTGTTTCCTGGTCCCAATGTGCCTAGCTGCTCATTGTTAACCTATAACCTACCCCCTACCAATCCCACAGTCCCACTTCCCCACACTTTCAGGCCAGTCACTTTGTGTCCCACCACCACCAGTTCACTCATTCCCTGATCCAGCTGTGCCCACCCTGGTCCCTGGTGTCCTGTCTTTGCTAACTCAGGCTCCCCGTGACCCCACTCTGTATTGCTGTGCTCTGGAACATCCTGATTGTGTCCCGACATCCCAGTAAGCCCATGCCCAACCACCTCCAATCCTGTTATTCCCTGACCCCGTACAGCCAACCTCCTAGCTCTGTATCCCTTCATTGCCAATGCCCACCCCACAGATTCTGTCACCCCATGTTTGACCCCTGCCAGCTCCTGACCCTGCCTTGCCAGCCCCTGCACACCATGCCCTGCCACCACCAACTCTGCCAATGCCTGACCCTGTCCCACTAACTCCCTCATTCTGTGCCTTCCCAATACCAAACCTGCCAGTCTGAGCCCTTCTCCTTCCTTTGCTCCCAATGCAAAATCACATCCCCCCATCCTCCATCCACATCCCACATCCCCTTCCAACTCTGGCACCTCTGGACTTTGCCTGGATAACACAGCCACTCTGCTTCCCACCACCTTCAACCCACTAAGTCTTGGATCCTGCTCTGCAAGCCCTGTCACCCCTTTTCCCACTATCCCAGATGCTTCTACCTCCTGACCCGGTCTCATTTTTGCCTCCAGCCTCCTTGACACCTGAACCCATCCTGCCAACCCAGTCACATCAAGATTTTGTCCCACCACTCCAGATCCAGATCCTGCCACTGCTACACCCTGGTCCTGTCCTGCCAGCCCTACCAACTCCATCCTCCTGTAACATGTGTCATTCAAGCCTGATACCCTGGGTACCATCACCACATCCACTGACCCACTCACGCGCTGACCCCGTCTTTTTACTGCACATCCCTTTACCTCCAACCCCAGGACCGTCGGACCCCATCCAGCCAACCCTGGTACTTTGTCCCTCTGTATCATTAAACCTGCCAAATCCATCATCTGATATCCCCTATATCCCATTAACCCCATTACCTCACAAGTCTGTCTTGCCAAGCCTGTCACCCCTATGTCCACCATCTCCCGCTTCCCAACACTCCCTGGTGCCAACTTCCTTTTGCCAACCACCTCTGTCTTGTCTAGAGCCTGTCCTGCATCTGCTGTCACTACTAACCCTGCTGTCACTACCAACCTTGGCACGCTGTGTCCCAGTGACACCTGACGTAAATAGACAACCTCCTATTTCACCGGATCCTGCCCCACCACTCCCAGTGCTCCCTGCTCCTGCCCCACTACCCTGGGTGCCCCTTGCTCCACAAACTCCATGACTGCCTGTTGTGCCGAACCCTGCCCCTGCCCCACTGACCCTGCAACTGCCTGTTCCACAAGCTCCGAGCCCCCGACCCTGCTCAGACACCCTCAGATCTGCCACCCCCGAGAGAGAAGCACGAGCTGGCTCCACAGCGCTGACCCACTGCAACCCACCCCCTCTTGCCCTGTGACCTCTAACCCCTGCCCTCCCTCAGCGCCAGCCCTCCCCTGTTAACCTCTAGCCCCAATCCAGCCCCTTGACCCCCCAGTGCCCAACACTCTTTGACCCCCACCCCTATGCCCTTTGACCCATTAAATTCTGACCCCCTAAAGCCAATGCCAAGACCCTCTTGCTCTGTGAGCCCACCACACCTCCACCCAACACCCCTATCACCCCCCAGAGCAGGGCTGCCCCCTTTAGGGATTGTGGCCATTACTACCACACAGGTAGGGGGAGCGGCCGTCAGCGGTGCACATGCTCCCTCCTTCTTCGTGCCCCCTTCTTCCCCAAGCGCACCATGCACTCTCAGGGTACATCTAAACTACATCCCTCTTTTGGAAGAGGGAGGTAAATTAGACATTGAAATGGCAAATGAAGCCAGGATTTGAATTTCCTACACTTCATTTGCATAATCACATTATGGCGTTCTGTCAAAAAACGCTATTTCAAAAGTGAAACTGCGGTCTAGACGCGGTTCTTTCGAAAAAAGCCGTGATGCAATTATGCAAATGAAGCATGTGAAATTCAAATCCCAGCTTCATTTGCAATTTTGATATGTCTAATTTACATCCCTCTTTCGAAAGAGGGATGTAGTCTAGACGGGTAGAGGTGGGGGTGTGTGTGTGTGTGTGTGTGTGCAGTAAGAAAAATAACACCAAATTCTGAGTACGGTGAGGCTGTGTGTGTGTGCGTGTGTGCACGGTGAGGCTGTGCGTGTGTGCACGGTGAGGCTGTGTGTGTGTGCACGGTATGGCTGGGGCCTGAGGGAGGGAGCCGGAGCCGCGAGGGACGACGGGAAGTGGAGTTCGGGCGGGACAATAGAGAACAGAGCGCGAGCGACAGCCGCAGAACCTCGCGAGAGCGCGAAGCGCGGGAAACGGAGTCAGAGTCCCACAGAGCGCTGAGCTCACGGAATTGTGGGAAATGGAGTTCTGCCCGCAGAAAGGGCGCAGGGGATGACAGGAAATATTGTTCCCCAGAGAAAGCTGGTTCATTGGGAAATGTTAAACCATAGAGCTGGGGCCGAGGGTCACACTGAGAAATGTAGTTCCATGCGGGGTGGGGTGTCACAGAAGAGGCTGCTGGGAATTGTAGTTCAGAGGGCAGAAGAGGCTGCTGGGAATTGTAGTTCCACGGAAGGGAGCAAGGGCTTTTCCCCTTGGATTTTGGGGGTGTATTTCCCTGCAACTCCAGTGAGAGTTCCCTGTACAGGGACCATGATCAATTGCCAGGACTTACTGTACAGGGAAACTAAAAGCCTTGTGATAGTTTTTCCGTGCACAATTTGCTGACGTGCACCTTTCACTGTTGCTCGTGTGCGGGGGCCAGCAGTGCCTTGGTCTAGACGGAGCTACGGCTGGGCTGTAGGGAGAAGGCAAGCAAGCAGCCGGGCCTTTCACTCAATTCTTGGGGACAGGAGTTAGCCCCCATTAGATGATCTTGTTGGGACCCTATAGGGTGGGGAGTCTCCACCAATGCATCCTGTGTCCAGTCCCACACCTCCCTGGTTGAACTAGAACAGAGTTGAGAAAAAGAAAACTTGCTTTTATTTAAACGCTCCCTACCCCCAGAGAGGGGATCCATCATTTCTGCATAAACAATCCCTGTACAGAGCATCCCTGTTATATGTCCAAGATACTTTCCAAAAAACATGGACGTATAGTGAAACAGCATAAAGCAGGGATTTTTTTCTCCCCGCGACTGACTTCCGTTTGTGTGAATTGGTTTTTTTTCATGGACGTATAGTGAAACAGCATAAAGAAGGGATTTTTTCCCCCTGCAACTGACTTCCGTTTGTGTGAATTGATTTTTGAGGGGTTTTTTTTGTGTGCGAGGTGAAGAGCAGGTAATGGGAGAACTTATAACACAACAGTTCCTACAAGCATCAACAACATTAGTGCAGAACCAAAATATACTGGGGAGACACATAGCAGGGACGCCCTGTAGTTAGTAGATAGAGCAGTGATTAAGGAGGGTGGGGCAGATGTCTGAGTTTCTGGAAACAGATACATGGCTGTGAGTGGAAGGCTGGATGGAGGGGTCCATGTGGGGATGAATGAAGGGAAAGATGGGCCTATGGAGGGATTGATCTAGATAAATGTGTATGGAAAGGGATGGATTTGGAATTGGATATATTGAATGTGTTTGTAAATAAAGACATATTAAGTGGGTGTGGATTGAGAGGTATGTATGTGGAGGGAGGCAGGGATGGGGGCATGGATGAGGATAGATGGATTGGAAGTATGGACAGATTTAAATGAGTGTTCATGGGGAAGGATTAATGGATGTAGGTAACTGGATGAGGAAAGATGGGAGGATATAGGGAGGAAGAGGTATGCACAGGCATAGGTGGAGGGAAGGATCAATGTGCATAAGAACATAAGGATGGTCTTAATGGGTCAGACCAAAGGTCCATCTAGCCCAGTATTTGGTCTTCTGACTGGCCAGTCCCAGGTGCCCCAGAGGGAATTAAACAGAACAGGTAAACATCAAATAATCCATCACCCATTCCCAGCTTCTAACAGACTAGGGACACTATTCATGCCCATCCTGGCTAAGAGCCATTGATGGACCTATTCTCCATAAATTTATCTAGCTCTTTTTTCAACTCTGTTAAAGTTCTGGCCTTCACAACATCCTCAGGCAAGGAGTTCCATAGGTTTACTGTGCATTATGTGAATACTTTTTGTTTTAAATCTGCTATCTAAAAATTTCATTTGATGACCCTTCATTCTTGTGTTATGGACACAAATAAATAGCTTTTCCTCATCTACTTTCTCCACGCTAGTAATGATTTTATAGACCTCTACCGTATCTCCCCTTAGTTATCTCTTTTTTAAGCTGAAAAAGTCCCATTATTAAACTCTCCTCATATAGCAGCCATTCTATACCCTTAATCATTTTGTTGCCCTTTTCTGAACTTTTCCTAAGGCGAAGATATGTTTTTTGAGATGAGGCAACCACATCTGCATGCATTATTCAAGATTCGGACATACCATGAATTTATATAGAGGCAGCAAGATACTCTCAGTCTTATTTTCTATCCCCTTTTTATTCCCAACATTGTTTATTTTTGACTGCTGCTCTGTATTGAGTGGATGTTTTCAGAGAACTATCCACAATGACCCCAAGATCTCTCTCGAGTTGTTACCACTCATTTAGTCCCCATCATTTCTACATAGTTGGATTATGTTTTCCAATACACACTACTTTGCTTTTATCAACATTAAAAGTCATCTGCCATTTTGTTGTGCTCTCACCTAGTTTTTTTAGATCGTTTTGAAGCTCTTCACAGTCTGCTTTGGATTTAACTATTCTGAGCAGTTTTGTATCATTTGCAAATTTTACCATCTCACTGTTTACCCCTTTCTCCAGATCTATTAATAGGTTGGTTAGGATTGGTACCATTACTGACCCCTGCTGGATACCATTAGTGTACTTAAGTCTTAGACAAGGTTCCTCACCAAAGGCTTTTAAGCAAAGTAAGCTATCAGGACCTTCCCTCCTATCCCATGTAATGGACTGATAACTGGTTAAATATAGGAAACAAAGGGTAGGAATAAACGGTCGGTTTTCAGAATGGAGAGGGGTAACTATATCCACACTGGCCCTCCATTGTCCCTATGCTTGTTGACCCCCTCAAAGAATTCTAGTAGATTGGTGAGGAATGATTTCCCTTTACAGAATCTATGTTGATTTCCCCCCAACAAACTGGGTGCCTCTAGACTGGCAAGATTTTGCGCAAAAACAGTAGCTTTTGCGCAAAAACTTGCCAGCTGTCTACACTGGCCGCTTGAATTTGCGCAAGAGCACTGACTTTGTAATGTATACAAAATCAGTGCTTCTTGCGCAAATACTTTCATGCTCCCACTTGGGAAAAAGCCCACTTGCGCAAGAGGGCCAGTATAGACACGGAAGAACTGTTTTGCGCAAAAAAGCCCCGATGGCTAAAATGGCAATCGGGGTTTTCTTCTGCAAAAGCACTTTTTGCGGAAATGCATCCGTGCCAATCTAGACGCGCTTTTGCAGAAATACTTTTAACGGAAAAGCTTTTCCGTTAAAAGTATTTCCGCAAAATCATGCCAGTCTAGACACAGCCATTATGTTTATCCACGTGTCTGACAATTTTATTCCTTACTATAGTTTCAACCAATTTGCCAATACTGAAGTTAGACTTACCAGCCTGTAATTGCCAGGATCACCTCTAGAAACCTTTTTAAAAACTGGCATCACATTAGCTATCCTCCAGTCATTTGGTACAGAAGAGGATTTACAGGAGAGGTTATAAACCAGAGTTAGTAGATTCACAATTTCATATTTAAGTTCTTTCTGGAACTCTTAGGTGAATGCCATCTGGTGACTTGTTACTGTTAAATTTACCAGTTTGTTCCAAAACCTCCTCTGACACCTCAGTCTGGGACAATTCCTCAGATTTGTCACCTAAAAAAATGGCTCAGGTTTGGGAATCTCCCTCACATCCTCACCTATGAAAACCAATGCAAAGAACTAATTTAGTTTTTCTGCAGTGACTTATCATCTTTGAGTGCTCCTTAGCATCTCAACCATCCCGTGGCCTCACTGGCTGTTTAGCAGGCTTCCTAAACATTTTGTTATTACTTGGGCTTTTGTTCTTTTTGGCTTTCCTAATAACATTTTTACACTTCATTTGACAGAGTTTATGCTCCTTTCTATTTCCTTCACTAGTATTTAACTTCCACCTTTTAAAAGATGCCTTTTTATCTCTCGCTGCTTCTTTTACTTGGTTAAGCTCCGATGGCACTTTTTTTGGTTCTCTTACTATACACTGCAAACAATTTCATTCCCTCTTTTGTCTCACTATTGTCCCCTAGGGAACAACAGTCAGATACAGTTGAACTATTCAGCGACTCTTCCCGGAACATCCTGCTTCATTCTGACGTAATAGGACCCAATAGGCCTCACCTTCACCCTAGTCCTGAGATCTGATTTCTGTCCTGAACAGACTCTGGCAGAAAGAATAATGACCCCTCTCCTGGTCACTCCCCTATTGCTCTTGATTCCACCCACTGGGGCAATGGGTCAGCATATCACTGCACAACCGGAGGTATCCCTACCCCTTGCTGTGGGTTCTGTTGGGACAGAACATCCCGGAGAATGATAAAACACAGCAAATGATAATTCTGGATTGCTGCAGCACCAATTGAAAGTGAAGGCCCATTCCAAACTCACGAGTCCCAGAATTACCTCCCAGAATTGCCTTTGGCACAGAGCACCCATCCTGACCGCAGTAGGTAGGACCTGCTGACAGGGGAGGGGCACAGGGGGCAGTTACCCTGGTTCCTAGTGATTCAAAGTGTCCTGGTGCTCACAGGTGTTGCTAGAGCCCCAGGCCCCTTTAAATCGCCACCATAGCACCATGCCTTGCTCTGGGAGGCTCTGAGGGGTGCCATGGGCGTGCACGGTGTTAAGGGCTGGCTGTTCCTGGCCCTTCCAGGCATGTGAAGCCAGCCTCCCCCCACCCCCAAACACACATAAAAACCTTGCCCAAGGAGACTATCTGCTCCGCTGCAGTAGACAATGATTAGGAATCCTCTGTAACATGGAGCATTTTCCCCATTTTGATGAGCCCTTGAGGATGCGAGGCCCCAGCTCTGATCAATGCTTCTCCTCTTCCAGAGCCCAGGTGTCCTGGATCCCAGCCTTCCCTCCAACCCTATTTCATGCCTTCTGAACACAGAACCCCACCTAAACACAACTGGCTCTGGGTTGGCGCATCATGCCCGACATGGAGGAGCCCAGGGTCAAGGCTGCCTCAGCAGATGGCGATTGTGGGGAGGGCCCCTCCCTTCAGAAAGACCCACATGCCTTTGCTGCCAGTACCCTTTGCATAGCTTGCCACCATTTCCACAGCCCCACAGCATCTCCTGCTGGCCTGGCTGGCGTTACAGGCTTCCCCAGCTGCTTCTCTACTCTGCTCTGCAGCGGGCTCCAGGGGGACACGCCAAAGGTCCCTGTGATGCACTGGCACAGGCGCTGCCATGGGGACGAAGCAGAGGAAACCTAAGCAGGTGCCAGTGCTTCTGACCTGCAAAGGGCGGGGCAGAGAACCAGGGAGATTCTGCCCCTTGCCAGTTGGGCGCCACTGGAACAGGAGGGACGGGGCATGCGGTTTTGAGTGCACAGTGAGTGCGCAGGGCAGGAGAGCCGCTACAGCTGTAGAGCAGGCATTAGGGCTATCATGCTGGAGGCTGCATGGACCCCTCCCCGCACAGGATGGGGGTCACCATGTCAGGGCATTTGGGGACCTCTCCCCACATGGGTTGCACTGCACTGCAGGCCACGCAGACCCTCCCTGCATGGAATGGGGACAGCCACTGCACCCCACTCTGCTCACTCCGCTCCCTGAATGGATAAGGCCCCTGTTGGGCTTGGTGTTGCACAAAGAAACACTCCGGGGCCCCGTCCTGGAGCTCATGAACTACAGTGACAGAGGGCAGGGCGATTCGCCCCGTTTTACAGATGAAGCCCAGAAAGATTGTGCAGGCAGCGGAGCCAGGAGTTCTGGGGCAGAGCCTGAACCCCAGGATCAGTCTACGGCCCCCTTCACGTCAGTGCGTCGAGGCACCAGCTACCCACTCCCCCCTGGAGACGCCCAGCCCTGGGCCTGAATATTTCAGCAGCAGCAGGTTCCGACCCTGCCCTGGATTAGAACCCAGCTCCCTGCGCCGCCCACAGGTAGAAGGAACCACAAAGAGGAATCCATCCAGAAGCACCAACTTGGGGTTTAATTAAAGAGGGGCAGGGGAGAAAACGGCAGTGTCCAGTTTCCCCTCCCCCGCCGCCGTAAACCCCCTTTCTGATCAGGTCCAGTGGGGACAGGGAGGGGAGCGTCACGACGTCGATACAGGAATAGAAAAAGCGCGGTACATTAAAAATGGGGGAGGGAAGGAGGGTCGTTTAAAATCACCACCTCAAACCTGGTATAAATGTACAAAACCCAGCTCACCCAAGGGAGCGGGGAGATATTTACACTAGGCTGGGGGTCCCAGCTCTGCTCTTGCCCCCCCTCCACCCACAGGGGGCAAAGCAAAGCCCCCCCCAATCCCCACTTACAGGGAGATTGGGGGAGCACTCCTCCGAAGCCCAGTCTCCTGCCCTGAAACCCCACTAGCCTGGGGAGATTGCCCTCTAACCCAGACCCCTAGCCCCCACCTCCCCAGTGACCCCAACAAAATAGGGGCCCCCACTGCCAGCTCTCCTTTACCAGGGTACAGCCAGGCCAGGGGAAGGTGGGGAGGTGCGGCCGCACCTTGAAACCCGCCATCCTGCCCCCATCCTCTCTGAGGGGGTGTCTGTAACGATCGGTGTGGGGGGGAGGTTTCCTCAGTGCTCTCACCCCTGATCGTGGCCAGTCCAAGGGAGGGGGAGGGGACATGACACTTGAAGCCACGGTGGGGAGCGTGGACACCAATGTTGCTGCCTAGTGGGAAGGATCCTGGCGGATCCTAGCCAGCCGGTTTGAGAGACGCTGCTCCTGGTGCTGGGGTGGGCAGGGAAGTATACTGCCCCTAGCTGCAGGGAGGGGAGAACCTAGCCAGCCCAGCATGGGGAAGGGAATGCCCTCGCTGATGCCAGGTTAGGAGCAATCCTGGCTGCCTCCGATGCCAGGGTGAGGGGCACACGGGCATCATTATCTGGAGTCCCGGTCCTTGTAGGCGGTGGTGAGCTCTGCTCCTGGTGCTGGGGTGGGCAGGGAAGTATACTGCCCCTAGCTGCAGGGAGGGGAGAACCTAGCCAGCCCAGCATGGGGAAGGGAATGCCCTCGCTGATGCCAGGTTAGGAGCAATCCTGGCTGCCTCCGATGCCAGGGTGAGGGGCACACGGGCATCATTATCTGGAGTCCCGGTCCTTGTAGGCGGTGGTGAGCTCACGGAGGTCCGGGGCACGGCGAGGGGAGCTGGGCCGGGTGCCGGGCACGGCAGGGATGAGGGGGGGAGGTGCACCAAGCAACCCCTCTGGGGGCGGGCCCTTGGCCAGCAGTGTGGCATGGCGCGGGTAGGCCAACAGACCGGGGGGAGGTGGCGCTAGCCCATAGAGCCGGGCACGCTCGTAGTCCTCAGGCAGCTCGCGCTCCAAGTAGCGGGACAGGGCGTAGGGCTCCCGCCAGGCCTCCAGAGCGGCATAGGGGGTGCCAGGGCCTGGCCCAGCCACCAGGTACGGGGAGCCCTGAGGCCGCTCAAAGACAGCCAGCGCCCCCAGCGGGTGGGAGACATGCAGAGCCCCAGGGAAGGGCCCGCCCGCCCGCAGCGCCCCCTCCAGGACACCCAGCTCCGGCTCCTCCTTCACCTTCACCTCCTTCTTGAGGGTAGGGTCAGGGTAGGGTGAGCGTGAGGCACGGCCCCCCACCGGGCTGCCATAACGCTGCTCCCGGCTTTGGCCCCCCCGT